TAGAGTACGCTCAGTAGGCTTGAGCTGGGCCGATACCATGATTTATGTAGTATAAAAGAGTAAAGAGTTTACATAACAAGAGGGGCCACTTCTCTCTTTGAGCCAATTAAAAAAGTGTCCTCAAAATTCGGTGGCGCCCTCTTCGCAAATGCGCACCTTTTGCGAACAGAGTTATCCTACTTGAGTTTTTAAAAATCAAAGTGAAACTAGCAAGTTTTTTAATGAATTTCGGAAGAACGCTCTTTTAAAATGGTTACGCTGACAAAAAAAACCTCTTCTGGAGGAAAGGGTGATTGTTTTCTTCGTTCAATTTGACTTTAGAATGAAAGGCGAGAGGTCATTAAAATTTTTAAAAACCTAAAACTCTGCACTGAACGAACCCGAACTGCTGATAAACAGCAGTCGATCTGCGCACGCAGGGAGGTGCTATTCCTATTCTTCTTCTGGAAAAACGAAAGAGAGCTTCAAAACAGACTGCAGCGCTATCTGAAGCAAAGAGCGAACTTCCTGCGGACACTTTTTTGGTTGAGTGGCCCATCTTGTTATTTACTATGTTTGGTAGTATGTAGGCCTATCGGCTCTGTACTCGCACCATTTCGTATTAAAAATTATGTTAAAAATTATTGAATTTTGCCGGGGAGGCGGCCGAAGCCTACTCTTCTTATCGATTTTGGACCACCAAGGGATTTTTAACGTGAGCAAATTGCACACCGGCCCTCCGAGATTTTTTGCCCTTTTCCGAGAAGGCTAGATGTAGATCTTTCTACCCGAAGATCAGGGGTGTGGCTGAAAGACAGCAGTAAGGAGCAGCAGTAGAAAGGCTGCAGAAAGAGTCCGGAGTCCAGACAGATGAGGGTGCAAATAAGGTGAGGGAGTGGGGCCGAAAGTGGAAACGAAAGCAGGCGGTAGAACATTGCTAGAGAGCCGGAAAAGAGGTGAAAGGAGACAATTTTAGAGGATAACATTTTTCGGTCGCTACCCGGATTCGAACCCGGGACCTTTGAATGAGAGGCTAACACCTTAACCTCTAGGCCACGAGAGCCCCCCTGATGTGACTCGTGGCTTTCTGTCTTTGCTTTGACTCATGAAACCAGACCGGGCTGATCACTCTCTTGTGGCTGAATGCTTTTAAAAAGTAAAATTTTGCGTTTTACCCATATATCTACTGGGTTTTAATTTTTATAACTCGATATTACTCGAACACGTTGATCGATTTTCTTCGTTTACAAAGTTCATGTCCCCCCGGTAAAAATTTTATTTGTTCGAAGTTTTGTTTAAATTAGCGCAGAGATGACAGTTAAGTAGGCTACCCTTTTAAAGATTTTAGTGGGTCCTCTTTTTTGGACACCCAGTACAAAAAGCCTAGTTATTACACCACAAATACATGCTAGTGTGCCTCCCACATATAAGTACAAGGTCAGTCCATACATACCTAGATACTAGATGACGAGAACATGACCCCCCAAAAAAAGATTTTACAGCAGAACAAGGTGTTTTAATTTTACACCCTAATCAACCTAATTTAGATTATTG